CCATGCAAATATCTTAAGTGAATAAAATAACATTCTACTAATATAATAGTGTCCATTGCCGATAGCGAATGTGCTGAGAATTTTCTGAAAAGGAAAGTCTCCATCCAGATCTAACAAATGAATATATTTTTGGTTTTTGGTTGTTTAAAAGTTATTTTTATTAACTAGAAAACAAGTGATATTATATGCTGGGGGGAAGGAAATTCCAGAGAGAGTTGTGATTAGGAAACATTGCAAAGACTAAAGGAGAAAAGAATTATAGGCTAGCCCTACCTTAAAGTGCTTAAATTTCCCAGAGGCTATGTCCATAAGAGGAATTTCTCAATGTTTGATCTCTACCTTACCTGGCTTTATATATGGACAGGTGGAAGGTTTTTGTTTTTCTAAGTGCTAAAAGTGGCGTTACAAAGAATAAAAAGTGTTCGACCAATACTTTTTAACCTCTGTTGCTAATCTCAGACTTTATTCAGTCTCTTAGTATTTCTGTCCAGAACAATGACCACTTAGGTGTGCTAGTTGCCTCCAGAATCTTCATCCAGCCACTGCATCACTATATTTTTCACATTGTTAAAAAAAAAAAAAAGAAAAGAAAAAAGAAAGAAAAAGAAAAAAGGAGGATTTTTATAAAACATGATCCAATTCTAATCTTCCTTCACCATGAGAAGGCCTTTTGCCTGCAATATACCTGTCCAGTCTGGGTATTTTGCAGAGAGGCATGGGTTATTCTACAATTTAAAGGAGTAGAAGAAGCTGTAAAAACAAAACAAAACAAAAGAAAACCAAAAAACTATGGAGCCTTTTGTGGGCCTCAGATTCACTCAGTGTTAAGCAAAAATCCTAGTCTGTTTAGACCACTATAATATAATACCATTACCTGGGTAGCTTATAAAAGACTGAAATTTATTTTTTCACAGTTCTGAAGACTGAGAATTCCAAGATCAAGTTGCTGGAGATTTGGTGCATGCTGAGGGTTTGCTTCCTTGTTCATAAGCAGCCATTTTTCACTGTGTCCAATGTGGCAGAGGCAAGCAGGAAGCTATCTGGATCCTCTTGTAGAAGATCCTTAAGAAAGGGATAAGTGACTAACGACTGCTATCCTAATGACTATCCTACTATCCTGATGACAACTCACCTCTTAAAGGTCCCATCTCCTAATACAAACACATTGGGAGGCCAGGGTCAAAAGATTCAATCTACAGCAGCAGTTTAAATTTTTTTTTTTTAAATGTTAAAAGTGGGCCCAGCTAGGGTGTTGTGGTTAAGGCACTGGATCCTATGTAACAGACTGTACAATTCGAGTCCTGGATCTGGCAGCTTGAGAAACATACCAGGCATGTGTGGATGTGTGCCCTAAATCCAAAGAGAATGGAGAATGGATTACAGTGTGGTCATCCCTTCTGGGTGTGTGAATTCTCATTTTCCTTCCCTCTCTCTGTGTCTCTGTTGTCTCTCTCTGGCTAGTGCATGTGCCCCAAAGCAAAAATAAATAAATAAAAAACTTAAAAAAAAAGAAAACAAATATTACAATGTTATGAAACTAAGAATAAAAGTTACAGAGATTTTAAAGATAAAGTGTCAGCTCATGGCCAGGTGGCTAAAGTGGTGGATCCCACATGACCAACTGAGTAGTTAGAGTCCTAGTCCCAGCAGCTTGACAAACATGCCAGACATGTGTAAGTGTCCACCCAAAAGCCCTAAGTAGGGAAAAAATAGAAGTGATTACAGCATAATCATTGCCCTTGAGGGGCACTTTCTCACTTTTCCCCTTTCTCTATCTCCATAGAGTTCATGCTCTTCATGGCAAATAAAAAAACTTTTAAAAAAAGAAAAGAAAAGAAAAGAAGAAAAAGATAGAGTAAGAAGTATTGAGAGAATGTCAATTTTTTGATGATATCTGGTACATTTGACTGATACCCCAAAGTACTTAGATGATACGGAGTACAGACTCTTCTAGAGGGAAGAGTTCCCACTTGCCTCTTTTTAGCCTACAGAATCACTTATTCTAAGAGTACGTATAGGACCAGCAGATGGCACAATGGTTACATTGCCAGTCTCTCACGTAGTTGACTGCGACTCAAGTCCCAGATCCAGCAGCTTCAAACTCATACCCAGCGTATGTGTATGTATGTGTGTGTGTGTGTGTGTGTGTGTGTGCATGTATGTCCAAAATCCCAAGAGGAGAATGGAGGAGAAGGGATTGCAGTGTGGCCATCTCCCCAGGAGGTGATTTCTTGCTTCCTGTCTCTCTGTCTCTTGGGTAAGTGCCCATGCTCTGTAGCAAAAATCTCTCTCTAAAGAAAGGAAGGTCTATAGACTTTTGTGCTATCTTAACTTTGTTCTTGCTGTTTTTTTCTGTTTAGAATTCTTCTCTCTCCCTGCTAGCTAGAAAATCAGTGCCATGAGGAACACTTTTCATACATTATTCTATTTAATTCTTACATCAACTCTGAGAAACAAATTTTCCCAGCTCTAAAACGTGCCTCAACGTCACACAGTAATGCCACTTGTCTCTATAGTGCATAAAAAAGTGACTTAGCCAGAATTAAAATACAAGGCTGTTTGATTTATGCTCTTATTCACTGCTTGTTATCCAATTTGATAAGTCACCTTCTAGATCCAGCATTTAAATGTCTTATCCCCTCTTTCACTTCCCTGAAAGTTTCCCCTCTTAAAGCACAAGTAGTTTCTATTTAATTTGTGTTTCTACATTTTTTTATTAACATGCACTTCATTTTGGCTACTGATTTATGTGCTCTCTGTCCTGCCAGGCTGAGAAATCCCTCAGAGCAGATACCATCTTGGTCCATGTGTGCGTCACACTTTCCTACATAACAGATGAACTGCACAGGGCAGGAGGGGTGTACTCAGTGGTGGACTAAGCATGTGAAGGCTTTGCCAGAATCAACGTGGCAGCATACAGACTGAAGTGTGTTTTGGTTTTGACCCCCAAAAGATTTTAAAACATTTTAAATTTAACTTGCCAACTTTTAAACTTTAAGATAATTCAAAAAAGAAAAAAGAAAACTGGAAGAATTGAAAGCATTAATTGGTCAGATCCCTTTCTGACCACAATTGACTGTAGCTGAGTGGCAGACACGTGCTATAGATACAGTTTGCTGCAGTCCCTCTACCTCACCACTCTGTCAGCTTCACTCATGCTACTCACAGAGCTCTATCCTTAATGTTTCCAACCTTTCTTCTGTATCTTCTCAAATCTCCTACTTTCTATATATTTATATAATGGTCACAGTCTATAAACAATATAATTTTTTTTGAGAGGTTTTCGCTATTAGGGCGCGTGTACTCGCCAGACAGAGAGAGACATAGAGAGAGAAAGCGAGAAATCACCCCCCAGGGGGAATGGCCACGCCGCAATCCCTTCTCCTCTATTCTCCTCTCGGGATCTTGGGCATGCACGCACACCCGCCCGGCGTGAGTTTTAAGCCACTGGGTCCGGGACGCGAACCGCAGTTGACTACGTGGGAGTCCAGCGACATGTATCTTCTCAAATCTCCTACTTTCTATATATTTATATAATGGTCACAGTCTATAAACAATATAATTTTTTTTTGAGAGGTTTTCGCTATAGGGCGCGTGTACTCGCCAGACAGAGAGAGACATAGAGAGAGAAAGCGAGAAATCACCCCCCAGGGGGAATGGCCACGCCGCAATCCCTTCTCCTCTATTCTCCTCTCGGGATCTTGGGCATGCACGCACACCCGCCCGGCGTGAGTTTTAAGCCACTGGGTCCGGGACGCGAACCGCAGTTGACTACGTGGGAGTCCAGCGACATAGCCATTACGCTAACTGCTGGTTCCCAACGATATAATTTTTTAAGGTAAAATCAATTGCAGGTAAAATTCAAGCTATCAAAATGGTGTCAGTACAACATGCAAAACAGTAGACTGTTTATTTACAACCATTCAACTAAATATATACTAACAATTATAATAAATATATACATTTTACAAAATATAAGTTAAGAAAAGGAAAATGTGAAGAGTAGAAAGCCTCATTGCTACATAAATATTAAAGCATACACTAGGGATGCTCTCAAGAATGCATGTACAATTTCTTATTTCAAATGAATGTAGACTGCCAAATCTGCTTATAACTAATTCATGGTCTTTCCATAGCTATTTTAGCTCACAAATGAGATGTTATTTACAAATAGCACTATAGTGTTTGTAGTGACTACAATTAAAGAAAATAACTATTCAAATGTTCTATGTTTATGATAGATATTAGGGTCAAGTTAATCTTTAAATTGGGGACAGTTTCTGCAATGATTTGCTAAGCAAATTGTTCTTAAAAGAATTGTTTACTTGACAAATTTTAGAGTCATGAATTTCTAACAATGTAAGTGCACTGTAAGCAAAAGCTTGCTGCTGCTACTCCCATTGGTATTTTGATATAATAAGTACAACTCATTTTAGTCTATTCTTTGAAGCAGGACTCCTGCTACACAGTACCTTTTTACCCTAGTTCAAGTTAAAGTATTAATTTGGAAATGATGAAAACTTTGTCCTGTAAAATGTATTGTTTCACTCTGACTTTTCATCATCTCAGACAGTTTGTTTCCCCAAGTCAACTGTCTTAGGTCTTAGTATTTAGTGGAGTAAGTACAGAAAGGGAGGCCAGAGTATAAGGGAATCTCAATTAGTCTACTAAAGCTTCAACAGCCACATCCATTACATTAAATAACCGTGCTTTAATAGTGTGAGAGTTGGCAGCCAAACAATAAATGTCCAAATATGACGAATAACTGGTTAACCACCTCTGTAACTACAGGAACAATACTGTTAGCCCATTTTTACTTGGTCTTGTAATAGATAAAATCACAGCATATAGTTTTATTTATCAGTTACTTTAGGGGGAGCCTGACATCTCAAGATAAATAGAAGTACAAATAAATATCTTACCTCTATTGATATTGTATTTTATGATGCAGAAAAGAACTACGAAAAACAGTTGAAACTGATGATAAAATCATGTCCTACCTGGGTAACCTTCTCTGTCACATTGTGTGTTCGGTCTTTAACTTTGGGTGCAATAATGGTTTTGTCTGAAGAAGGAGGGGATGTATTCTTTTTTTCAGTTTTGACATCTGAAAAGTTCAGAGTGAGCTGTGGAATCTTGTTAATGGTGCTGTATTTGTTGAGGTTGGAATCAGACGTGGATCCCAGGAGACTCGACTTGATATGATTAAAAGGCCCTAAAAAAATTGGAAAAGTATTCGTAAGAGTAAAATCAGAAGAACTAGAATAAAGAGATAGTCCTGAATGCCCTACCAATGACTCATGTGACCCTGATTCAGGTGTGAGTAAATGCAGTCAGCTGATACTGAACATAAGTCTTAAAGTCACCTGTTAAATGGAGTGGCATGTGAATATCCGAGAATATGACTGGGTCCTAGGTGTGCACCAAGGGAGAAAATGGCAGCTTTAGCTATTAATCAACTTCTCTCATTAAAAGCTGAAATAAAAGAAAAACTTACTCCCTGTTATTGACAAATTCTAAAAAGTTTATCATGATTTTATATTATAATCTTGGATTATTAAGGAAGGATGTGCCTATGATTGAAATCACGTTGGCCATGACATTTCTGAGAGTCTGTGGTAACCCTTTCTCTGTGTTACTGACAAGTGACAAGCCAACTGGGTTCTTCAAATGCTTTCACTACCTATATGAAATGCTCTACGAGGTTCTAGAAGAAGTTAGGTCAGGTGAATGAATTACAGATAAAGCTGAGAAGGGCAAAGGGTTATTTTGTGTGTGTGTGTGTGCATATGCACATGTACATGTATGTGTAATGTACTATAAACTTTAGGATCTGGTGTGGGATTTTAAATCTTTAATTGTCTTTTTTTTTTCTACCATTTAGATTTAAAATTAGCCACTTCCGTGATATAAAGAAAAAACATAAACCCCATGGAAGGGGAATGTACTGGCAAACATAATGTACAATAGAAGTGACATGAATGGGATTAACAGTACTTCCAATTTTCACATTAATTTCCAACAAAGATAATTTGGCAAGAATAAAGACTCCCGGTTTTCTTGAGAGTGATTGAACTGACCACCTATAGCTTCTTTTAAAGAGAAATCTATTGTTTGTTGCTTTGGAGTGTCAAGAATTGCTCTAAGGAGTACATTGTGCAATGGGTGCTATTATTTACACCATTATTTGAAGCACATAAAAATTAACATGAAGAGGGACCAGCAGGCATCGTACTGGTTACAACACTAGACTTCTACATGGCCAAGTGCAGTTCAAGTCCCAGACCCACAAGCTTTAAAATTACACTGGGCACATGTATGTTAGTGCCCAAAATTCCAGGAGGAGAATGGAGGAGAAGGATTGTGTTGTGGTCATCCCCCACAGAGGGTGATTTCTCACTCTTCCTCTCTGTGTCTGTCTCTGTTTCTCTCGAGAGCACACCAGCCCTATGGAAAAGACCTTAAAAAATGTTAACATGAAGAAACTTATTAAGAGTCTGAGCCCACTAATGTTATACAGTCATTGTCATTGTGTTTCAGAGCAGTTATAAACTGGATTAATTAACTTAATAGCACATTTTGCCTTATGCTATTATTTTCCATGTTCTGAAAGAAACTCACACATTTTCAGGATTAAATGTATACCAAGCAAGGTATGAACACTCTAAAATTAGACTTATAGATTATGTTCTTTGGATTACAACAGTCAATTGACTATAGTCAAATGTAACATTAAGAAAACAATATTAATCATTTTATTCATAGTTACTGTGGAGAAAAAATATAGTTTTATAAACTGTATTTGTTTATGAAAGTTTACATTTGTTTATTATGAAAGTTTAGCCTCTGGCAAATACAGAAAGATTTAAAGTAATGTTAAGAAAATGTTCAAGTATTTAACCATATTTGTTTCTCCAGTTGTATTTTACTTCTTTCCCTGAATCTTACGCATGATGATGACCCAGTCAATTCAGGTAACAAATGTCTTTGAGCTCTCTGGACATTTATTGCCTTGTATTTTCTCATTTGCATAGAGATCCTCATTTTTGCTTCTATTTATGTAAGAAGAATAGAAATGAGAGCCAAAAGTGGCACCAAATTAATCTTGCCTTCATATAGATCTCTGGCAGAAACCCCATTCTCCTGGTCTTTATAGATGTCTCCACTCAACATTATTAATTTTATTATTATTATTTTTTTAATCTCACTTTCTCTCTCTCTCTCTCTGGAGAGCATACTACATAAGGTGCTTACACTTGC